TCACACAGAGGACCTGTGAGCAGGAGGGCAGTGGTCACACAGAGGACTTGTTCGGAGTGCACCTTCAGGCTCCCTATGATTTCTTTATCATTTGTTTTAAATGCTGTACTTTATGAAGTTCCCTGTGATTGTTTATGTGTACCGTGAGTACTGATCAAATCAAGGGAATTAGAGTTTCCATCTCAAACATTTACAACTTGTTGATGTTAAGAACCTTGGACATCCTAGCTAGCTAGCCCTGACTGTGCTGTGATCATTAGAACACCTTGCTTCTATTTTGATAGCCACAGTCCAACCTCCATCACCCCTAACTCTTTAGCCTGTTATTATAAGGTATATGTATATGCCACATGTGGGTCCATCTTTGTGTACCTGGCTTGTTTTGTTGATTTTGTAAATTGAGTGGCACACATTCTTGGCTAAAACAGTGTTTGGTGAGTTCCAGTTTGTTCAATGAAGCACCATTGTTTGGGCTATTTGATAACTAAGTGCAGAATGTTTATTATACTCTGCCGTGCTTTCTTGATTTAGTCTGTTCATCTATTTTTTTGTGCTGTTTAAAATAGGGTCTACCTATAGTACAGGCTAGCTTAGAACTTACTATGTAGCCCAGAAAATGTCTACTACCCACATGCTGGAATCAGAGGCATGCACCACCACAGCTGGACCTTGGTTTCTGTATTCAGTGTGTAAGTGACACAGGCTCAGCAGGTAAAGACACTTGCCCAGTTTAACCCACAGGATTCAAATGTAGAACTGACTCCATAAAGTTGTCTTCAGACTTCATACTTTGGCACGTTCTTCCTTAAATAAATATAATAATAAAAACCATCTAAAATCCAGTGATATAAACAACATTAATTTCCACAGATGTTTATAGAACTGTTCCTTTCATTGAGGATCTGGACACTATAGTTTTCTGATAGGTCTGGTTGCAAAGCAGCGATGGAACACACACACACAGAGTTTTGTCTGGGTCTAACACTAGCAGCCTCTTTCCTGTGTTTCTTCTGTTTCTCTCACTTTTTAATGGTAATGGCAGCTGACTCAGTGGGTTTTCTGTTGAGTAGCTGGTTTAGACGTCATGTTTTGGTGATGTCATTTAGGCTTTAATGCCTATATATTGCCTTGGACCTTTGAACTGCAGGCTTTGTGTACAACATAGTCCATGAGTAAGCACATATGTCATAGCTAACCCCAATCCTGACTCCTCTTCTGCTTCATTCTCAGAACCACTCTTGGTGCCACCAGCCTGTCCTCTGCCAATAGCAGCTCTTATCTTCCTACACGTACGTGTAAGTGCTCAGGGCAAGACTGCTGACTCTGACTCTGTGGCCTCATGGCAGATGGCTTAATCCTCACCTTCCTCACCTTCAACTAGGGTTGCACACCTCATCACCTCCACTGCTGCTCACTCTAGTGACAGGCGACACAGGCAACTGTCATCTCCTCCTCTGTGGAGTCTGCCACCAAGGAGCCCCTATCAGAACTTTTCAGTCAGACATTTCCTGCATCTGACAGTGGCTTTTTTGTCCCGAATGTAAGGTTGAAGTCACAAAGTAGTCACAGGCACCCTGAGACCTCACCCCCTGCTCTCTTGCTTGCTGCTTACAGGCACACACAAGTCTCGAGCTGTGTCAGGCACCAGCAGCGCCTTGTGCCTTTATGTAAACATTATGACTTAAAATCATGTCTCAGATCTGTTTCCATCCTCACTGCCTTATCATACATCGTGTCTGGCTCCTCCACTGGAGGCTGTTTCATTCATTGCTCCATCTCTAGGACATCGGTAAGGTGTTGCAGCAGACGGTTGGGGACTGAGAGAACTAGAACACTGCGCAAGACGTTTTCACTTTGCTCTTCAGGTTCATCTCAAACAAGTACCTGGTGAAACGCCAGAGCAAAGACTATGACGTGGAGTGGGGCTACGCCTTCGACGTGCATCTGAACGCTTTCTATCCACTCCTTGTCATTCTGCATTTTATCCAGCTCTTCTTCATCAACCGTAAGTGCTCGTTTCTCAGATGGTCTCAGTCTTACAGTGTGCGGACACTCACTGTATGCTTTCTCTCCTGGCAGATGTTATTCTCACAGACACATTTATTGGATATTTAGTTGGAAATACCTTATGGTTGATTGCTGTTGGCTATTATATCTATGTGACCTTCCTGGGATACAGTGGTAAGTTTTGGTGGTTTGAAAACAGAACAGAGAAGGGCAGAGACATTGACAGATACTGCCTGAGGTGTTATGGTTCACTCATAAGATCTAATTACACAAGTATTCTTACCTTTTAGCTTGCCCATTGTCCAAAAGTAGAGTGGAACAGGTGCTGTGTGACACTTGGAGCCATGCTAACTCATTCTTGCCAAGTTACAGGTAGAAGCCTGACTCCTTGTGTTACTGTGTTAGATGGATTCAGGCTCCATATTACTAACCATAGGGAAGGCATGGGCCCATGGTTATGGGCACTGAAGTAGTTACAAACATTTCTTAGAGGCTGATCCCAGGCCATATTTGCAAACTTCCTGCTAAATCTTGTAGGTTATGTTTCCTAATATGAATGAAGATAGTCTTAGGCTGTTCATTTAAGAGATGATCTCAAACCGGGACACTAACTCAGTAGAAAACCTGCCTGCTGTGTGCAAGGTCCTGTGTTCAGTGCCCCTAAATCCCTATTGCTAAAGTCCAGAGATCTTCAGATCTCACAGAACCATCCAGAGAACTTTCAGCATTTTTTTCTTGGTTTTTCGAGACAGGGTTTCTCTGTGTAGTTCTGGCTGTCCTGGAACTCACTCTGTAGACCAGGCTAGCCTCGAACTCAGAAATCCCCGTGTCTCTGCCTCCCAAGCAGCTTTTTTTTTTTTAACCCTTTGGATGACTGGGACTTTACTATGAACAACTCTGACTGTTCTTCTCCCCATGATCAGTTTCCCCGGGATCACTTAACCTTCCACTTGCTTGGTTGGAGTGTTAAGAGTTTTTCTAGTGAATTTTCACGTAGCTTGAAAGTATAACCCACGGCACCAAAGTGCTGATTCTTAGGGGACTTTTGGATGTTCTGCCTCAGAACTGTTGAGAAAAATGCTTTGGGCACTAAGGAAACAGTAAGCAAGAAGCTTAAGTGTTTACAGTATCCTGCCTTAGTTCTTCCCAAAGGCTGGGCTATTAGTTGATCATACCTCAACTGCTTTTTGCAGTTGAAACACTCAGATGGCTAAAAGTAATTTTGTCCCACAGTCTGTGTGTATGAAAACACATAGTGATAGTATAATAGACCCATTACCATGCATGCTGACACAGGAAGGTGGCGTACTGGGGCCTTTGTCTAGGTAGGAGTGTTCATCCCCTCTGCTCAGGTTGCTTCATGAGATGTAGCTATAGCTCTGAAAGCATCAGCATGGATCTACTCAAGTGTGCTCCTCCTTTGGCCCAGTGTGTTGGAAAAAGCTTTCTTCCAGCATGTACATGTCAGCCCTGGCCCTGTTTGTTTTCCAGCACTGCCATTTTTGAAAAATACAGTGATCCTGCTCTATCCATTTGCACCTCTCATTGTGCTGTATGGGCTCTCGCTGGCGCTGGGATGGAACTTTACCCACATGTTGTGTTCCTTCTACAAGTACAGAGTGAAGTGACAGCATCTTAGCCAAACTGGTATTGGGATGAGTTCTTGTAAATCTGTAAATAGACTCAAGATGTAAAGTTTTACAAATTCAAGGTGATATTAACACTTGTCTAGACCATTCCTTAAAACTAAATGTACATTTCTAATAAATATTTTTAAACTAAAGCTGTAATTGTTTATTTTCATTTGAAGCTGTATATATAAAATAACAAGGGTACAGTAGTGAGTGGTGGATCACACAGACCATCTTGTTGGCAAAATGTATAGTCTGTCTGTCCCATCTTTAAAGACCATTTACATAGACTCGCCTTCGAAAACTTTAGCAAGCAGTATGGCTCACACAGGTGCTGTCATTAAATACAAAGCACAGTCCCCAGAGGGACTCTGACTTGAGAACTGCCTGTGAATGCCTGTAGAGATGACAGCCACTGTCTTACCAGGATGGCATTCTTACCTTTAAAAAGATTAAAGAGAAACCAGTAGCTACCAGAAAACAGATTAAGTAAACATCAGATGTAGTGAGTGCTACAAAAATTCTGTCCACTCATTAGTTTAAGCCATTTTTATTAGAAAGAATCTTGATTCAACATAGCTTTTCAAACTTCTTTATTTCAAATACACATGGACAGTTGTAGCACAGAGACAGTTATGAAAGGCACAGTCAACAGGACATTATTGGGTTTCAATTATAGCAGCAAACTTGAAAATAAATAATCCATTTTTAAAAATTCAACAGGTACCTCAAATATTACTGCAGTTATTAACTGTTCAACCCATAAAGACACTGTGAGCAAAGTATGTGCAGAGGAAAAGAGAACCTAGTATAACCTAGCAGAGACTCCTTGGGCTGCTCCAAGAACATCCCCCAACACAAAGACAGACTGGAGGAAGTGCTCCAAAGCACAATGGAGTCTTTGACTCCACTGGGGGAAACGGGTGTGAGGCTTAGTGGACTCAGACTACACTGTCCCAGCAGCTCTCTTCAGGTGGACAGCGCTGGAACATTTCCAATAAAGAATGGAATGCCAAGCAAGCTAAAGGACCCCACTCTTTCTATTCTGGGACCAATTGCTAACTCTACAGCAGAGCAGCTGCAAGAAGCAGCCTCCTTAGTATCACAAGGATTTAGCTGTCCCCACAACAAACCTGTGTTTAGAGCAGCAGGGTCCCCACTGGGGACCAGGATTCACACTGCACACGAAGTGGCAGTGGCTCCCTGCATGAATGCTTCCCTTCCCTGCTGAGGTCGCTGCAAACACTGTCACCTGCTGCCTGTCTGCCTTCACACGTGCATTTTTAGGTAGTGCAGAAACTGGAAAAGGGAGCATTTCAGAAACAAAGGTCTGTTTAGCTAGTGATAGAGTATAGGGGCTCGGGTAACAAAAGCCTTGGGGTGTTTCTGTTGTTGTATTCTTTCTCTCTTTGTAAAAGACTGGTCGTCTTTGTAGCATTGTATGTTCACATGCATTAAATTTAGCATATTAATTAGCATAGCATATATATTAATACTAATCATTTAAGTCCTCACAACTATCAAGGTTTAAGTTTTACAAGCTGTAAATGTTGCTACATAGCTCGGGAATGCCCTTCTCTAGAAGTCTTGAACCGGGACTTGATCCCTTACCATGTGAAGATGACAACAGTGTTTAACCTCTGGGTTCCTTTCCTTCAGTTCTGTTCATTTTCCTTCAAGGCTATGGCAGCATGGTTAATAATAATAAGCATGAATGAGTGAACTGAGATAGGAAACCTCATTAGCAGTTATTGGCTTGCAAGTGGAGGTATTTTGGGAAACATAAATGCAAAACCTTGGTCAGAACATACAGGGTTTGAGCCGTGAGCTACTCAGCTAAGTGTTTTGTTTTTTTTTAATTACACCTGTCATAGCCGAAGCTCTTGCAGGTATGTTCAGCCTGTGTCACAGGATAGCAATGAATGGCACAATACACAATTGTAAACGTACTCAAAGCTTTTTAAGAGTTTCCTTGTCTTTGTAACTGGACCATGTGTTGTTGAGCATGGACTCTGTAGATGGATGGTGGCCTCATGCTGCACTGTCAGAAGGCTGGACACAGCACGTCGACATGAAGGTGGGAATTTTTCTTCTCAGTCTGATCTAAAATACTGTTGCTCATCATTCTTTCCCGTACCTCTGGCAGGCCTTTAAGTCAGTATAATTTAGGAGCATCTAGGAGAAAAAGATGCCTACAGCCCATACCTACAGCCTCATCCTGGCAGTTTTACAGAACAAAAGATAATGCAAGTCTGACTTGTGGAGACAGGGGTCCTGGCACCAAACATCCTAGCAGAGACCTGGGTATAGGGCTTGCTAGGAACGAGTTAGGTCAAAAACCATCAGTCAGCTAGGCATGGTGATACACATTAGCACTTGAGAGGCAGAACTGGGAGAACCAGCCTGGGGTGCAAGGTGAGACTTTGTCTTAAAAACTAGTCTACCGCAGGCAATCACATATGAAGATGTCTCGGGACTGACTGAGATTCTGTTGCTTCTTACAAAACACAAATCTAGCCACATCACCCATTTATTGTCTATTGCTGTACATCAGAAGGTAGGCCCACTTACAGTAAAGGTGTTTACCAGGCTGGCTGCTCATCAAAGATTTCCATGTCTAAGTCTGGGTAAGTGTCTGGGTCAAACTGTTCTGTGGCAAAAGGTCCGCAGCTCCCACTTGGTGGGTAACAAAGCCTCTGGCTCCTTAAGGCAGGCCACCCACAGTCCCTTAGTGGGGCCCCTTCCACTTGGGCCAGCGGTGCTGTTCAGAGTTCTGCTGCTGTTTCTGACATGGCTCACAAGATTGGACCAGTCACTCACAGATATCTCCTTTTTGTTAAGTAACAAGACATGACATGGTCACAGTTCTCAATATACTCAGGAGGGGAGGATATTATACAAGGTCATGGGAGGGGTCGTTCTTAGAATCCTGTATATGACAGATATACACTTACTAACTGGAACAACCTTTGCCAACAACTATTTGTACACAAGCAAACTTTTCCGTTGGGGACTGTAGTTCTCGTAATTATTAAAGACTAAAAAGAACTCTAGTCTCCAACTTTCTGACAGCTTTTGAAATAAGCACACCTAATCTTTTACATATAACCAAAGATCAAGAACCTTTGTTCAAACACACTGATGGACATACCATACGTCTAACCTACAAGCCATCATCCATCTGCATTTACTTCTCATGCTTTTCAAACATACCTCTTGAGGATACTGAAACAATGCATGCTGGGAAGAATGATGACACTAACATGTAGCCTGGGAATCTTGGCTATCTCACCAAAATACCTTCACCTGCACTAAAATGAATCCATAGGTCTACTTTTAACCACAGCAGCAGGATGCATCACTTCCCCTTTCTAGAACGCGCATGTTTACATGACCAGCAGAACTTCCCACTGTGATGTCAATGTCCCATATTTCTGGGATCCAATATAGTGGCTGCTGGCCATGTAACCACTGAGCACTCAGAAGGCTGCCAACATGGGAACAGAACTCAACTTTTCATTTCAATAGATGTGTTTTGTAGCGTCTGTAGAGGCCAGCACTGCTTTAGCGTCTGAGCTATCTGAAATACACACTGATGTCAACCACGACCTATTTCACAGATATAATTAGTACTGCATTTGGCACTTTTCCCATTCACTATGTGGGTGAAAGTTGGTTGGTGGCCTCCAAGGTATAATGTGGATGGACACCTTACAATTCTAAGGACTCTGTCTTCATCTCCTCCAGTCTTCACCCTCATCAACCTCTGGGGATCCCACAAAATCTTGCTTGGGGCAAGCACATCTGTTTCTGATAGTCTAGTGCTGAGCTGGGCACAAAGGAGGGAGCAACTAACACTGAGGGGTCAGAAGAGCGCCTGATGTGGTGGAAGACAGGAGAGCTGGCCTCCAGAGCTTGGCGTGTGTTGGAGAACACACACCACACACAATGAAGACTAGACACAGAGTGCCTGTGCCCGTGCATGGCAAGATAGCAGGCAAACAACCTGGCTAGTCAACTCATCCAGAGGCCAAAAGAGCCTGCCAAGGCTCAGGCATGTTCCAGGCACTGGGAACAAGCTCGCCGGGAAAAGGGAGGGATTCCTTGAATGAAGGAAAGGACTTGGCTAAAAGAGTCCCTCGAGGCAAGACAGAGGGGTAGAGCACAGCAAGAGGATGTGCTCAGAGACACACGCACGAGACATCCCAACGGCCCTCTGGATTTTCAAAGCCTGGCCTTCCTCAACTCAGCTACCGAGAAAGCAGAGATCTCGGGGTCCCCACATGCTTTCACAGTCTGGCACCCTGCTGCACCCTGCTGAGTGTGGGAAGATAGTGCTTACATCTTCTAAGGATTTGCTTGTAGGCACAGGCCATAGGAAATCAGAGAAGAAATTTAAAAGGTGAAAGAAATGAGGGGAGATTTACAAAACACCAAGAAAAGCTTCAGCTGGGCTTTGACATGCACAGTAGTGTTTATCTACATTTTCCCAGTTAGAACATACAAAATGGCTGCTGCCTAGTCATATGTGTTCCATACACTGGGCAACTAAGAAAGCTCCAGGATGGAGGCCACCAACTGGGACCTCCCACAACCCTCGGCCTCCACCACACCTGCTGGACATGCCCAGCTCCTGGCGAAACAGAGAAGACTGGCAACTGTTGCTTGGCCTTCCTAACTCTAAGAGTGAAGCACTTTTGCCAACTAGTGCTACTTGGGACTGCAAGGTGAGGATGCACACGCACTCTGTGGACACAGCATTCAACCTCCACGTTCATGACACAGCAGAGCAAATCATGCTATGGAAACAGAAGCCCTACGGTTGTCTTTCACCAGAGCCCCATATTACAATTTTGGTTGTAAAATTATACCCAATATGACTCACTCAACAGCATTACCCAAAAAACATTATCTGAACTCCAAAACCTACCACAGGTCTATAAAAGGACCAACCAGGGAGAAAAGAAAGTGTGTCTACCTACTGATTAAAGAGAACAAAAGGGAAGGGAGTCTCAGCACCCACATGGAGGGAACTATGAACGGTGAAGGAGTCTGTGGAGACGTGGCAGGGGCCTCCCACCTGGACACTGACAATCACACTGGTTTTCTGTGGCTACACACCATACACAGTACAGTAATATAACCCTCGAGAGGACATTGGTCTTTTAAAATCTTGATTTTTTTAGGAATGACAAATGCCTCTGAAAATATTTTGTTCAGAATTGCTGTGATTATAAAAGTACTTCAAGTTAAGAAACCCATCTAGAACCGATCTGGAATGGCAGTGCACTGGAAAAAATGGCGTTGATCTATAATGTCTGCATTTCCAAATAAAAATATAGAAAGAACTTAAAAAAGCTGGGGAACCGCTTCTTCAAAAAAAGGTGTTGATCCAAAACTTTACTGCACAAAAATATGTACTTCTTAAGTGCTTCTAATAAATTAACTTCATAACATCTTCATGTGTATTTATATATTTATATATATATATATAATATCCCTGATCGTCTATAAAAGAGGGTCTATAATAGTAAAATAAGTGAACTTCAAAAGTACCCCCTTCACAAAATGTATTTAACATCAGTTTTCTCAAATTTTAAGGAATGTAACAATATGTACAACTCTTGTGTATTAGTATAATACTAAAATAGTCTCAGTCATGTTAGCAGGCTGTCAGAATTGTAAAATGTTTGTCTCAAGTTCAAATTAGAAGACAGCCTAGCTTCAAATGAATGTAGTTATCCGTGGGAAGAGTCCCTGTCCGAGTGGAGATGACAATCATCTTATCTACAGTAGGCTTCACGAGAGGTAGTGTTCAAGTCCAAACAGAAGAGGACGTGCTAATTATCTTTAATCAAGAGTCATAAGAAAGGATGTGTTGGTTTCTAAGCAGATCAACTGGTGATTTTTTTAATATGAATCTGAAATACAAAAGAATGTAAGATTTCATAAAGCAGTTATTTCACAATTCCCAGAAGTCTTCATTTGCAAAATCGAAAGTCAATAAAAAACAAAGCAGCTAGGCAGCCTTTCTGGCTGAATATACTCTTACCTCATTAAGAATGGCCCAAACGGCGGAGTTCTGAATAACCGAAAGTCGAAAGGCTGAAATAGGGTTTAGAGCAGGATCCACGATTCCCTCTGCAACACCATACTCAAATTTCCCTTCAAAACAGAAGATATTTTTGTTGTTTAAGAATTGTTGGAGAGTCTGAATGCATAAAGTGCCACCAAAGGCAAAGTATTTTTGGTAGACAGGAAATCTGTGTGTTTTGTGATCTGATATACTTTTAAAGACCTTAGAAGCAGCCTGTCTAAAGCAGGGGCACACTTCTGCTCACTGTAACTCAAAGGGTGGTGAAGAAACATTTGTTTTGACATCAACAGTATAAAGCCTACAGGATGTCTGCAAATTGGCACTCTACTCAAACCAGATCAAAATCCATTTTCTAACATTGCTCAGCCTGCCTGCTGCCTGCCGGGAAGCTCAGCTAATCACGAAGAACCTCACCATTTCAGACATCAGGGCTCAGCCTGGGCAGGTTCTCTGTCCATGTGTATCTTTCCCAGGCTTTATTGAGAGAAATTTAGATGTGTTGCCTGCTCCATACAATTTCCCATACACCACACTTTGTTAGAAATGAGAAGCTAATTCATTTGACAAGTTATTGCTATCCAGAATATATACAGAACAACAACAAAAAAAAATCACCAAAAATCATATAATCCAATTAATGGCAGGTAAGTTGAACAAAGTACAATTGGCCAATAAATATACAGAAAAATATTCAGCTCAATATTCCTTAGGCACCAGGAAAACATAAATCAGAACTACTCCAACAGGCTTGAGAGATGGCTCAGTAGTTAAGAGCACATTTTGCTCTTGAAGAGTAGGGTTCAATTCCCACCACTTACATGGAAGATCACAACCATCCATAATTCCAGTCCCAGGGGATTTGATGCCCTCTTCTGACCTCCAAAGGTACCAGGTACACACATGGTGCAGATACATACATGAAAGCAAACACTCAGATACATACAAAAGATACATATAAAACAAAACAAATCTTTAAAAGAAAAATGTTGCACAACACTGAGAGTCTATCTTGCCCCTCATTAAGAAAACGATCAGTTCTGGGCAGTCTGCTGTGGAGAAGGGAGCGCCATATACTGCTGGAGAATCGAAGGCGGTGCAGCAGTATGAACAGATAGCTCTATACAAGAGAACTACTAGTAAGCCTCCTGGGTGCATAACCAAAGGAATCTACGCATACACCATAAATGCCCAAAGACAAATTCAAATTCTTCTTTCATATACAGGATCTAGATTTAAAGTAAGATAAAAGTATTGAAAGGGCTTTATTTGGAAAGAGCAGTAGAGCCAGTGGGAAGACAGAAGAGAGGCAGTAATGGAGGGCTGGTATAATTGAGGTCCATTAGAGACATATCTAAATATATCAAAATGAAACCCACTATTTGGGCCAGGGAGGGAACTCAGGATGAAGGCTTTGTCACTGTGCTCAATAAATTCAATCCTTGGAACTCACTGTGCAAGTTTTCCTCTGATCTCCACACATACTCTGGTGCATGTGTGTGTGCACAAAAATAAATATAAATATATATAATTAAAATCAAGAGACTCATCATTTTCTACAAGGAATGTACACTACTGTAAAGAAAGAAGGCAAGCAGAAAAGGTCTTCTACAGAAAGAGACGTCACTTCCACAGACAGCGATGTCCCATATCCATCATTTCTTGCTATAAAGATAATGTCCTTCTTAAAATACAACAGAAATGATGTAAGAAAAAGTACCAAAAAAATCAAAAAAGAAAAGATCAAAAAGAAAAAAGGGAAGGCAGGAAGGAAGGTAAAATAGTAAAATGAAATTTTTCTGGGGCAAAGTTCTTCAAGCCAACGGTTAGCCAACTTTTCAGTGAAGAATATTCTGTGTAGGCCACAAGGACAATTGAGAATGCTAGATAAAAAGGATTTCTGCCTCATTTCTATAGAAGAAACTCAATATACCTTAACACATGTGCTCTGGAACATGACCTAGTGGGGAGATAAATACAATTCCTTATTCTTGAACAACATTCCACTTAAATAAGAGGTCCAGAGTTAGTTTTCCCTGTCATTAGAACTAACTGCAAACTTCAGTCACTGCTGACATGTTAGTGATTCATGTTTCCTTGACTCTAATCTTGAGACATCCCCTCACCCATCCCAGGTACCACCAAGCACCAGTGCCAATCCATGCATACATTTTTTAAAAATCACATTTGTGTTCTGTTTGTGTGGGTATACATACCACAGCCCATGTGTACCTGTGTGGGGTGTGCATACTGCAGTGTCTATGTACATGTGTGGGTGTACACACCACAGCCTGTATGTACATGTGGGGGTGTGCATACCACAGCATGTGTGTACATGTGTGGGTGTGCACACCACAGCCTGTGTGTACATGTGTGGGGTGTGCACATCACAGCCTGTGTGTACATGTGGGGGTGTGCATACCACAGCATGTATGTAGATGTCACACAGATTTCAGGAGTTGGTTCTCTCCTTTCACTATGTAGATCCAGAGAATTGAGCACAAGTCTGCAGATTTGGGTGGCAAGTGCCCTCACCCTCTGAGCCATGTCAAGAGCCACAGACACATGATTGCAGTGGAGTAGACTCTCAGTTGGAAGTTAATGACATATTTATTCTTTGATATTCATTTTCTGCCTTATTACATTGTGGATGAATCACTGCCCGTTAGAGCAAGGAGCCTGTCCTGCAGTTAAAATGGATTCTGAAACACAGCAGTTCTTTATCTGCACTGAACATCTCCAAGTCTCTGTGGCCACTATACGTCTGGCTTGGAAGAGGTGTCCTCTCTCCCTCTCTGTATGTGTGGGCCATGTTCTAAAGAAGCTGATCATACTATTAGTTGTTTATTTTCCTAAGGAAATGAGGTTAGACATTATATAAGCTTAAGAGTCCCAAGTTGCACAGTAGGTTTGGCTGTGACTCTTTGCCAGCCAATCATCAACAGTAACTTTTGTGCCTGTAATACCTACAGCTCTTTTTTTTCCTTCCTCCTTTGTTTGTTTGTTTCTTTCTTTCTTTCCTTCCTTCCTTCCCTCCCTCCCTCCTTCCCCCTTCCTTCCTTCCTTCCTTCCTTCCTTCCTTCCTTCCTTCCTTCCTTCCTTC